TCAATCAAGGGATGGCAGGGATGAGCACTCTGTCCTAGGAAGATTCCAGCAAGAGAAGGTGGTGAGGGGGGGGGTGGAAGCCTGGGAATGCCTCTCCTCTCAGGAATAATGGGGGGGGGGCAGAGAGTAACCGGAAGAATGCAGATAATTTGAAAATGTGAACCTTTAAAAAGCCTCTTTTTAGTTACGCAGTAAGAGCCCATTTATTCCACTGTTTGTGTTAACCACATCTCTGTCCCCTCCCCCACTCCACCCAAAAAGAACATTTGTTTTTGACAACAATAAAAGATCCCTAAAATCAGGAGGTGATGCAAGACCTTCTCTTCCAGGAATGGGTGCAAATCTTGGCCCCTATGGGTGGCCACTGATCCCTGGGAGCCCTGCTGGATCTGAGAGGGTCTCCTTTCAGCACACCGCATGCCATTTTATGTAGTCTTGGAGTGTGGGCATTCTGCCCAGATAAGTCTCCTCTCCCAGGCTGTTTAAGTCCAGGCTCTTTTTGGCCAAGACAGAGGACCCCCTCCTTCTGGGGCAGCACGCCCTAGGGGTCCTGCCTCTCCGTCCCCATCCTGTGGGGCTGCCCACAGATTTGAGTGGGTTTGAGGAAAGGAAGCCAGGAAGGGGGGAGGACTTGGGCAGCTGCTCGGACTGTCGCTCTGGGAGCAAGAATGCCCAGGAGGTTCACGGGATTCCTTATAAAGAGCGTGCTCTGAGCGACACACACACACACACACACACACACACACACACACACACACACACACAGGCTCGTCTGCCTCGTCTCCTGCACACCGACTGTTGCCACTGCCGCTCCCGCCGGGTTAAACCTGCCTTTGCAGCTGGCAGAGGCGGCGGCTGGCTCTTTTTGCAGCTGAGCTGGGGTCTTGGGCAGAAGGAAAGCAAGTGGCCAGCTGGCTGCATCTTCGCCTGCTCCTGGACGGGTAGAGGGAATGAGCCATGGAGCCCACTGGACCCAGATGCCCAGAAAGCAGAGGGCAGCCACAACAAGGCGGTTTGGAGGATGACAAGGCCTTTTATGAAAACCTCTCCCCCCAAAAGAAGCCCAAATCGGTAAGAAAGAGTGTTTTTCCTGCTGGGGTGGGTGGAGGAAGGCTTCCTTGTTTGCATGCAGGGCCCTTGGGATGCTGGTCTGGTGAGAGGCAGCGTGAAATGCCAGGGCAAGTGAAAGAATCTGCTGCCGGGACGGCTCATCGCCTGGTGGCTTGGCTCCAAAGGGGGCATTTAGCCGTGTGAAGAGAGGTGGCTGCTTTTGAGGCTCAGAGACGCTTCCTGTATAGATGGCCCTGGTCTGCAGAATTGGCCTTGTTTTCCCAGGGCAGCACTGCTCTTGCTTGCAAGATTGCTCCCCCCCACAGGAACTCGCGATAGAAAGGAGGAGCAGCCTTCCTTGTGGGAGCCCAGATCTCTCTGCTGCTCATTTCTGTGGCTATCATTTTGTGTTCCCCTGGCAAGGGTAGCGCCCCGTTTGAGAAGGAGGGAGCTGCAGGCCACCATCACCCTCCTCAAATGCAATTTAGAGGCTTCCCTTGCAGGAAACGTTAGTGAAAATTCTGGTTTTATTCTTTAATGACAATATTAATATTGCTCTTCTTGAGCAGCACCTTTAACATTCAGTATTCCCAGCAACAGGTGGAATGGACCCTCCCTAGCCAGAAAGAAAGACTGCACCCCAGAGTCCCTTCGGCCGCGGTAAAAGGTTCTCTCGTATGATGATCTGCCTGGGATTTCATGCTGTATTTTGCTGTGAGGGTCTGCCCAGAGTCAGCCCTGCGTCCCTCCTTATTTGCCCCACTCGATCAAGCAACCTGGCCAACCTCTTTTCCAATAGGCAATGCTCGCTGAGGAGCCCTTCCTCTCAGTGCCCAGCACCTCCCTCTCATAGATGTTTGCAATGTCCAACAAACTAGCTTTGGTTGAAGGGTTACCCATCCCCATTCTGCAAGGGAGCCTCTTCTGGGTAGCCCCTTGATCTGGAACGTCTTGGGAATCTGGGATATCCATGACCTGCTTCCCCCAGACCAGGGGACTCCAAACTTGGCAATTTTAGGATTTGTGGACTCCAATTCCCAGGATTCCCCAGCCAGCAAAACAAAATTCTGGGAGTTGAAGTCCACAAATCCTAAAGTTGCCAAGGGTGGAGAGCCCTGCCCCAAATCATGCATTAATCTCCCCATTGCTGAATCATAGCCTGCTTGAGGAGAGGCAAATCTTCAGAACCCAAGAAGCCATTGAGTCAATTCTGTTGACGTCCGCTGTCCTCTTTTCTCCTTTTTGCTAGCTGGACATAAGCATTAGCATCTGCCATCTCTTATAAATCTTACAGAACTGACAATCGTCCCCCAAAGCCCTGAAATTCCTACAGGGACACACTGTACAGAAATATTACTGGTTCTCAGCTCAAGAGGAAAAGGATTTCAGGAGAAACAATGATATCTGTAGAAATGGAGGGCACTGTGAACAGGCTCATTCGGCTTCTATGCTCAACCTCAGCCTTCGCCACATCAGCCTTAGGGAGAACATCCGATCTCTATGGGGAGAAAGTGGTTTGGGATGTCCAAGCAGCAACGGGCATTTTAGGTGACCTTGAAGGCAGCAAAGTACTTGTTGCAAAAGAGGGTCTGCCTGAATGATAGGAGTCCTTAGTCAGCAAGTGGCTCAGAAAGACATCCTAAGTTAGCTGAAAAACCAGGAGGTTTTCCTTGGTTCCAAGAGGTGAAGCCAGCTTTCCCATCCTAGTCACTCAGTAGACTCACTGAATGAACCATGTTTAATTGGTTTCCACAACCTACTAAACCCTAAAACATGTTTTGCTAACCACGATAGTTTTATTCACACCAAGCACCCGGTCAGTCTAACCATACAATAATGTCCAGTGTGTGATAGCGATGGTGGAAACAGAATCTTGCTAGTGAGAACCCTTTCAGAGGCTTCCTCACCCGCCCAAACCCAGCTACCATCATTTGGGAATGAGCTACTGGAGGGACCCAGGAAGCTTCCCCAGCAATGCTGGTGGACAGCGGGGAGTTCGCCAAAGCTTTTTTAGAAGGGTGTTGGGCACCTTCTGGCCAGAAATAGGGAGCAGCAGAAAGATGGAACTGCAGTACTGGCCAGGAGAAAGCGGATCGATGCTGACTGCCAGCTTCAGACAACACCCACACTAGAAATGGAGGATGCTTGCTGTGGTTTAGCATGCACTGTAACATGAGACCAGCCATAAAGCGGAACGTATGACAACATGCCATGTGAATGCAGACACAGTCAACAAATCGTGACTGAATGAATCACTCAGCCAAAGTGGAGGCAGGCCTGGAATAAGGCCTGCAAGTCATACCTGAGAACTGAGGTTGCCCTTTTTCTTTTGCAGCCCTTTAAACTCTGCAGGGTGGAGTGGGGGGCTTGTCTCTGTCTGGCGGGAACCGTTATCTGCCAATTTCTGCCATTAAACCTAGGACTGACCTCCCCCCATATCCCTACCCCATACCTGCCCAACAAGCGTTCTCATGCACCATGCCTTCAAGCCAGGGTCTTGGTGAGGTTCCCCCTTCTGCCCCTGTGGCACTTGCGGATTGCCTCCTGGGCAAGAAGCTTTGCCAGTCTGCCCAGGAGGCAATCCGCAAGTGCCGCAGTCAGCCAGCATTTGGAAGGAACTGCCTTGGCATCAGCTGGTGTCAGAACAAACAAGCTGGGATGTTCACACCCACTTGGACCCTGCTTTCTTTTTCTGGAGCAAGCAGTGAGTAGAGTTTGGAAATTGCCTCATCATTTATTGAATATTGGTGTTCACACAACATTGCTTGTCCGAGAGAACCATTTAATCCCAAACAATCCTGGCATTGTTAGGGTTAAAAGTCCCCAGCCCTACATTAACTAGGTTGTGTTGTTTGGATGGCATGCAAACCCTGTCTTTGACCCAAAGAGGGATGACTGTTCAGTAAAGCCAAAATAAAAGGCCACAGAATGAATGGTATAAACAAGGTCTCGGCCTTTGACTCTCAATTGTGCACCTTTCTGAGAGTTTTGGGCTGGGAATCTCTTCCTCCAGGCAGTCGCCTTTGTCGGTCTTAGAGGGACTTTGGCTCTTCAGATGGGAGAGATGCCATAGGCAGCCTTGTCCACAACAAGCTGTTCCTTTGAAGGGCAACACTTCCTGGCATTAATCAGTGGCACTTTTCTGCTTGCCCAACTCACTGTAGGCAGGCTGGACACGCAGTTCACGGAGTCCCTAAGTGGCAGCCATGTGTGGCATTTCCACCTGGCAGCTTCCTGGTGTGAAATTGCTGAAGGTTGACAGGAACAATGGCCTTCGCTTCCCTCCAGTTCTTCTGGCCTTGTTGGGAGTGAGAAGCTGCTGCAAGGGGAAGAGGGCCCTGGGGCCAGGGAGGAAGGGAGGGAGAGCCTTTTGACTGGGAGACAGCTGCCTGTCTCCCTCCCCTTACTAAATTTGGTTTTTTTTAAATTAAAGTTCTATCAGTGTAGTACACAAAATTATCTGCTACAATGTCCTACCTGTCAAAGACTACTTCAGTTCCAACCGCAACAACACAGGATAGATACAAACTTAAGGTAAACCGCTCCAAACTTGATTGCAGAAAATACAATTTCAGCAACAGAGTGGTCAACGCCTGGAATGCTCTACCTGACTCTGTTGTTTCTTCCCCAAACCCCCACAACTTTAACCTTAGATGTCTACTGTCGACCTCACCCCATTCCTAAGAGGTCTGTAAGGGGCGTGCATAAGCACACCAGTGTGCCTCCCATCCCCACTTCTTTGTTTCCATTTCCTGTATTCATAATAATCTTTATACTTATATCTGTCATCTTATACATGTTTGACTAAATAATTAAAATAAAACAATACACAATAAATGCTGTTCATTTCACCAAGGTGACTCTAGGGGGCTTAGTCATACAGTTAAAATACCAGGTAAAACATTAAAACAATAAATAAGAACCATGCATTTAAAATCCAAATAAATAAGATGGAGAGGAAGGGAGCCAAGTGTGCATGGGGAGAAGGTGGGGAGGACTAATCCATCAACCACTCCAAGTTGCCCCTTTGCCCTTGCCGGGCCAGGCCAGCTGGCAGGGCCAGGTCTTCAAGCCCTCTTGAAAGGCCAGAAGTGAGGATCTCACCTGGGGGGAGGGGGAGGATGCTTCAAGTGCCTGTGCAGAGTTGACCATCACATCCCCTTGTTTGAACTGAGGCCTCTATGCCAGGCAGGCCTGACTGTCTCAGCAATGAAGGAAGGGATTTAGTTGTTAACACCAGCACACACACACACATACACACACACACACACACACACAC